CAATAGATTTGAATAGTGAAATTAAAAATCTTAATAACACATATAAATGTTAGCATTTAGCTTATTTTGATTGGAAATTATGATTCAAATCAACCAAAAAATCATTATTTTTTTAATTTTCTAAATTGTCTTTTACTCTATAGTTCATTACACATGACATAATTAGCCTTTAATTTAGTATGACAGAAGAGAAAAAAATAAATTATTGCAATTAAAAATTGTCCATTATCAAACAAAGTTATTTATCTACCCATTGAATAACAGATAGGAAATATTAAAGTTGTCTAAAAATCTATGCTATTTTTCTTTTAGTAATGATATTTGAACCTGATTTAATAACTCAATGCATTTCAGTTGTTAAATTAATAGCAAGGCCCAATATTAGGTGGAGCTCATGTTGCAATGGATTAAATTAATTGAGTGTATTAATAAATTAATTTTTAATAGCATTATTTTTCTTTTACTTGTCGAATTATCATCCGCTTCCTAGAGGTGACATTATTAACCTTTTATTTAGTATGATGTAAGAAGGAAAAATAAATTATTGTACTAAAATGAATGTCCTAATTTGAACAAATAAAAATAGAGAAAATAAAAAAAAGGAAAATACAAGGAGTAATGGCATGTCCTCTTACATTTGTACCAAACGTTAATAATTAGGGTAACGTAAAAGTAATCACCTAACTAAGGGTTTAAAATGAAAAATATGATAACTAATGGGATAATTTAAAAAAGAGTCATAGTTTAGGGGGTCAAAGGGTAGTTTTCCCTTAAATTTAACCAAAGTTATCTTCGTCTGGTCAGTAATTGACGTACAGGGAGGAGAGATTCACGTCGCTTAGAAACCAGGGCTCTCTGTACCGAGAAATTTCTGCAATTTTTTTTTCGGGAGGTATGTAATTCGTTTCTTTCGTGATTCAATTCAACCCACCCTTTGTGTGTTGTGTGCGTGGATCCATCGGAGATCTCTGTTGACCTCAACTGGTAATGTTTGTGTAATATTATTTGATTTTCATAATTGATTTTATCAGGAATATAGAAATCTCTGTTTTTATTAGACGAGGATTAGCCATTTTTGAACAGTCTGTGATTCGATCTGACGTTTTGTTTCGTCGTGCCTTGTTATTCGGAGCTGGAATTCATGTTTAAGAATAATAGACGTTGTAATCAATTGGATCTATTACTTTCTTTGTTGTGTTTTTTGAAATTTACAGTAGGTGCTGTTGTATTGGTTNTCAAACACGCTGCTTGGAACAGCGTGCAAGGTACGGTGGTAACCTGGAACGGCAATAGGAGATCCTGGGAACGGAAGAACGATCCAGTAAGGCTTAAAGAGGTTCCTGGAACAAAGAAGAACAAGTTAGAAGGGCGCCGGAGTGTTTTCTGGNTTGTGTTTTTTGAAATTTACAGTAGGTGCTGTTGTATTGGTTTTCTGTTCGTGTTGAGGTTGATCATGCGATGCATTCATCTGATCTCGTGTTAATTATAGGGTTTTGCTTTGGATTCCGGATTATGATCATGCTTTTGTAATCAGATTCATTCGATTATTGTGCTCATGAAATCCTTCTTGTTTTTTGGCTCATAGTTGTTTGGTCCTATTACTTCATAGATTTGTGTCGATCAGCCTTGTAATAATTAGTATCCTTATAATTAGCATGTTCACCCTAACCAAAATTAGATTTGACGATGGTGGTGGTGGGATAGTGATGCCTTCTATTATTTTGATTACTTTTGTTACCCTTATTTCTTATGGTAAGGTTGGTGATTACATTTACATCTAAAGTTTTTCCTGGTGTGCTGAATTATGCATGTTTGTGTCAGTGTTGAGTGATCCATTAGCAGTTGAATCAAAACAAAAATGGGGTTGACTTTCACGAANCTCCTCTCGGGGAGGATGCAATAAATACTCTGTAATAGGAGCATTTATTGTCTTTCATTTCCGAGCCTTACCGCATTGAATGCGGTCTCATCAAGGAATTGGTGCAATTAATTGTTTGTCTTCCCAAGCCGCGTGTCAGCAACGGCGTGCAGTTTGTCTGTCTTTGAAGTGACATCATTTGCCACGCGTCCATCCCTTATTGGCTGTGACCTCTGTATTCCAGTATGTCCTGACATTACTTGTGTAAGACGAGGTCATNTACTTTCGTTTTCTCTGTTTCGATTTGATATTATTTGTCACGCGTCCTTCTCTTAATGGCTTTGACCCTTGCATTCCAGTTGTTCTGACACTAATTGTGTAAGACGAGGTCATGATGAATAGTCTAGACTAGCCTAGGCTAATGACCTGTACGTCAATAGCTTATCTTGGAGTAGAGGAAGCGTCCAGGACGGAGTACCTCTCGGCACCGAGGAAAGGCTCATCTTGGGACCGAGGGAGGTATGCCGACCGAGGTACATATCAGACCGAGGCCACGTGTTGGTTGTAAAACATACTGAATGCATGATCCTATATGACGAGTACCTCGGGGGCGAGGACCTTTGCGCGCCGATGGTGCTTGATCTTATCAACAGTGTTTTGGTAATACCGAGGACACGTGTCTTCATCATGGAGTATCTCAGAAAAGTCTCATCAGAAACCATTATTTGCGCTCGTGAAGCGCCTGAACGGACTCGAGTAGGTGATGAGCCGAGNCCATAATTTGCGCTCGTGAAGCGCCTGAACGGACTCGAGTAGGTGATGAGCCGAGTCGTTGCNAAACCATTATTTGCGCTCGTGAAGCGCCTGAACGGACTCGAGTAGGTGATGAGCCGAGTCGTTGCAATTGAGGTGAACCGAGGGAAGCCCCGGAGATTGGAGAGAAAGATTGGTTCGGAGACTGAGACGGAGTATGGGAAGCAGGGTGTACAGAGGGGCGACTAGTGGAGCCCAAATCGCACGAGCCATTATCACATACGGCGGGAGCGGAAGTTATTTATTTGTTTGCGCATGGCGCGGTAGCCCTACTTTCATTTCTTTTGTTTTTGGGGCGGGCTTTTTTCATTTCTATTATAATTTCACTCAATTTTAACTTAATAATAAATTATTCATAAGATATTCACTTAATAATATATTATTAAATAAAATTATAGTTAAAAAAAAACTTTATTTATGTTAAAAATTACAAATTAACTTATTATACAATTGACTATGATACCAAAAGTATTGATATCTAATTAACATTTCGAATAACTCCTCAATCTAGAGTTTCACCTACACTTTAGAGCGTATGTAGAGGTGTAATTTGGGTTGAGTAACTCGATTTTAATCTGAAAAAATTAAGATTTGGGTTGAATTTGGGTCAAAAAATTTTAACCCGAATTCAATTTGGGTTGGACTCGGGTTAATGTCTCGTGAACCCGAATTCAACCCAACCCCAACAAATTAAAAAAAAATTATATATATAAAGTATTAGTACTGATTTTTTATTTTTGTTCTATCGTTCTTTTTGTCTCTCGCGTTCTCTCAATCTTTTTCGTTAAAAACTTGGTTAAAGTTATTAGTTGTTAATTTAGGTGAATATTATGTAATATATGTATTAGGTTTAAAACAATAAGTCTATTTTTGACACTGCTCGAATTGAACCCGTAAAGTAATCTGAAATTAGCTCGAATCATCAACCCAAATTCAACCCGAGCCACCTGAATTAAACTTCAATAGTGCTCAGGTTGGGTTCTCCACTTTGAGGTAGGGTTATAATTAAGATTAAAGTTAAGATTGAAGATTATATACCTAGAGTTGGGTTAAGATTAATTGTTTAACCCGTCCGAGTTGCACCCCTAAGTGCAGGAGATGGAATTTTTTTTATGGAATAGTTTTGTAAGGATTAATATCAGATCGGTAGCTTATTTACCTAAAAAAACACATAAAATTTAACTTAGAGAAAGTGAATTACTTTTTGTTTTGTATCAAATTGATTTGTTAAAAATAGATGCCTAAATGCATGATTGCTTGTGTAAAGAGAAAAATATGCAATGAAATTAAATAAAGCTAAAAGGAAAATGTGTGATCATTTGGGAAAAAAAAAAGTAAAGGTAGGCAAGTAAAATTAAAGAAAGATTTATAAATAATAGTTAAGTGGAATTAAAGGGAAATTGTGAATATTTATTTGAAAAAAATAACGAGTATTATCAATATTTGAGAATGGAACACCAAACATTCTCATTTTCCTTCGTTATTAGTATAGGTTTAGTTGATGTACTAAGTAGTATATTTATCAATAGATTTGAATAGTGAAATTAAAAATCTTAATAACACATATAAATGTTAGCATTTAGCTTATTTTGATTGGAAATTATGATTCAAATCAACCAAAAAATCATTATTTTTTTAATTTTCTAAATTGTCTTTTACTTTATAGTTCATTACACATGACATAATTAGCCTTTAATTTAGTATGACAGAAGAGAAAAAATAAATTATTGCAATTAAAAATTGTCCATTATCAAACAAAGTTATTTATCTACCCATTGAATAACAGATAGGAAATATTAAAGTTGTCTAAAAATCTATGCTATTTTTCTTTTAGTAATGATATTTGAACCTGATTTAATAACTCAATGCATTTCAGTTGTTAAATTAATAGCAAGGCCCAATATTAGGTGGAGCTCATGTTGTAATGGATTAAATTAATTGAGTGTATTAATAAATTAATTTTTAATAGCATTATTTTTCTTTTACTTGTCGAATTATCATCCGCTTCCTAGAGGTGACATTATTAACCTTTTATTTAGTATGATGTAAGAAGGAAAAATAAATTATTGTACTAAAATGAATGTCCTAATTTGAACAAATAAAAATAGAGAAAATAAAAAAAAGGAAAATACAAGGAGTAATAGCATGTCCTCTTACATTTGTACCAAACGTTAATAATTAGGGTAACGTAAAAGTAATCACATAACTAAGGGTTTAAAATGAAAAATATGATAACTAATGGGATAATTTAAAAAAGAGTCATAGTTTAGGGGGTCAAAGGGTAGTTTTCCCTTAAATTTAACCAAAGTTATCTTCGTCTGGTCAGTAATTGACGTACAGGGAGGAGAGATTCACGTCGCTTAGAAACCAGGGCTCTCTGTACCGAGAAATTTCTGCAATTTTTTTTTCGGGAGGTATGTAATTCGTTTCTTTCGTGATTCAATTCAACCCACCCTTTGTGTGTTGTGTGCGTGGATCCATCGGAGATCTCTGTTGACCTCAACTGGTAATGTTTGTGTAATATTATTTGATTTTCATAATTGATTTTATCAGGAATATAGAAATCTCTGTTTTTATTAGACGAGGATTAGCCATTTTTGAACAGTCTGTGATTCGATCTGACGTTTTGTTTCGTCGTGCCTTGTTATTCGGAGCTGGAATTCATGTTTAAGAATAATAGACGTTGTAATCAATTGGATCTATTACTTTCTTTGGTGTGTTTTTTGAAATTTACAGTAGGTGCTGTTGTATTGGTTTTCTGTTCGTATTGAGGTTGATCATGCGATGCATTCATCTGATCTCGTGTTAATTATAGGGTTTTGCTTTGGATTCCGGATTATGATCATGCTTTTGTAATCAGATTCATTCGATTATTGTGCTCATGAAATCCTTCTTGTTTTTTGGCTCATAGTTGTTTGGTCCTATTACTTCATAGATTTGTGTCGATCAGCCTTGTAATAATTAGTATCCTTATAATTAGCATGTTCACCCTAACCAAAATTAGATTTGACGATGGTGGTGGTGGGATAGTGATGCCTTCTATTATTTTGATTACTTTTGTTACCCTTATTTCTTATGGTAAGGTTGGTGATTACATTTACATCTAAAGTTTTTCCTGGTGAGCTGAATTATGCATGTTTGTGTCAGTGTTGAGTGATCCATTAGCAGTTGAATCAAAACAAAAATGGGGTTGACTTTCACGAAGCTGTTCAGCCGGCTTTTTGCGAAGAAAGAGATGCGCATTCTGATGGTAGGTCTTGATGCTGCTGGTAAGACTACAATTCTCTACAAGCTCAAGCTTGGAGAAATTGTCACCACAATCCCTACTATTGGTGAGTATTGACATTTGTTAATCCATTCAGTATCATCATAATTACATCCTCNTGAATAACTCCTCAATCTAGAGTTTCACCTACACTTTAGAGCGTAGGTAGGGGTGTAATTTAGGTTGAGTAACTCGATTTTAATCTGAAAAAATTAAGATTTGGGTTGAACTTGGGTCAAAAAATTTTAACCCGAATTCAATTTGGGTTGGGCTCGGGTTAAGATATCGTGAACTCGAGTTCAACCCAAACCCGACAAATTAAAAAAAAATTATATATATATAAAGTATTAGTACTGATTTTTCATTTTTGTTCTATCGTTCTCTTTGTCTCTCGCGTTCTCTCAATCTCTTTCGTTAAAAACTTTGTTAAAGTTATTGGTTGTTAATTTAGGTGAATATTATGTAATATATGTATTAGGTTTAAAACAATAAGTCTATTTTTGACACTGCTCGAATTGAACCCGTAAAGTAGTCCGAAATCAGCTCGAATCATCAACTCAAATTCAACCCGAGCCACTTGAATTAAACTTGAATAGTGCTCAGGTTGAGTTCTCCACTCTGAGGTAGGGTTATGATTAGGATTAAGGTTAAGATTGAAGATTATATACCTAGAGTTGGGTTAGGATTAATTGTTTAACCCACCCAACCCGTCCGAGTTGCACCCCTAAGTGCAGGAGATGAAATTTTTTTTATGGAATAGTTTTGTAAGGATTAATATCAGATCGGTAGCTTATTTACCTAAAAAAACACATAAAATTTAACTTAGAGAAAGTGAATTACTTTTTGTTTTGTATCAAATTGATTTGTTAAAAATAGATGCCTAAATGCATGATTGCTTGTGTAAAGAGAAAAATATGCAATGAAATTAAATAAAGCTAAAAGGAAAATGTGTGATCATTTGGGAAAAAAAAAAGTAAAGGTAGGCAAGTAAAATTAAAGAAAGATTTATAAATAATAGTTAAGTGGAATTAAAGGGAAATTGTGAATATTTATTTGAAAAAAATAACGAGTATTATCAATATTTGAGAATGGAACACCAAACATTCTCATTTTCCTTCGTTATTAGTATAGGTTTAGTTGATGTACTAAGTAGTATATTTATCAATAGATTTGAATAGTGAAATTAAAAATCTTAATAACACATATAAATGTTAGCATTTAGCTTATTTTGATTGGAAATTATGATTCAAATCAACCAAAAAATCATTATTTTTTTAATTTTCTAAATTGTCTTTTACTTTATAGTTCATTACACATGACATAATTAGCCTTTAATTTAGTATGACAGAAGAGAAAAAATAAATTATTGCAATTAAAAATTGTCCATTATCAAACAAAGTTATTTATCTACCCATTGAATAACAGATAGGAAATATTAAAGTTGTCTAAAAATCTATGCTATTTTTCTTTTAGTAATGATATTTGAACCTGATTTAATAACTCAATGCATTTCAGTTGTTAAATTAATAGCAAGGCCCAATATTAGGTGGAGCTCATGTTGTAATGGATTAAATTAATTGAGTGTATTAATAAATTAATTTTTAATAGCATTATTTTTCTTTTACTTGTCGAATTATCATCCGCTTCCTAGAGGTGACATTATTAACCTTTTATTTAGTATGATGTAAGAAGGAAAAATAAATTATTGTACTAAAATGAATGTCCTAATTTGAACAAATAAAAATAGAGAAAATAAAAAAAAGGAAAATACAAGGAGTAATAGCATGTCCTCTTACATTTGTACCAAACGTTAATAATTAGGGTAACGTAAAAGTAATCACATAACTAAGGGTTTAAAATGAAAAATATGATAACTAATGGGATAATTTAAAAAGAGTCATAGCTTAGGGGGTCAAAGGGTAGTTTTCCCTTAAATTTAACCAAAGTTATCTTCGTCTGGTCAGTAATTGACGTACAGGGAGGAGAGATTCACGTCGCTTAGAAACCAGGGCTCTCTGTACCGAGAAATTTCTGCAATTTTTTTTTCGGGAGGTATGTAATTCGTTTCTTTCGTGATTCAATTCAACCCACCCTTTGTGTGTTGTGTGCGTGGATCCATCGGAGATCTCTGTTGACCTCAACTGGTAATGTTTGTGTAATATTATTTGATTTTCATAATTGATTTTATCAGGAATATAGAAATCTCTGTTTTTATTAGACGAGGATTAGCCATTTTTGAACCGTCTGTGATTCGATCTGACGTTTTGTTTCGTCGTGCCTTGTTATTCGGAGCTGGAATTCATGTTTAAGAATAATAGACGTTGTAATCAATTGGATCTATTACTTTCTTTGTTGTGTTTTTTGAAATTTACAGTAGGTGCTGTTGTATTGGTTTTCTGTTCGTATTGAGGTTGATCATGCGATGCATTCATCTGATCTCGTGTTAATTATAGGGTTTTGCTTTGGATCCCGGATTATGATCATGCTTTTGTAATCAGATTCATTCGATTATTGTGCTCATGAAATCCTTCTTGTTTTTTGGCTCATAGTTGTTTGGTCCTATTACTTCATAGATTTGTGTCGATCAGCCTTGTAATAATTAGTATCCTTATAATTAGCATGTTCACCCTAACCAAAATTAGATTTGACGATGGTGGTGGTGGGATAGTGATGCCTTCTATTATTTTGATTACTTTTGTTACCCTTATTTCTTATGGTAAGGTTGGTGATTACATTTACATCTAAAGTTTTTCCTGGTGAGCTGAATTATGCATGTTTGTGTCAGTGTTGAGTGATCCATTAGCAGTTGAATCAAAACAAAAATGGGGTTGACTTTCACGAAGCTGTTCAGCCGGCTTTTTGCGAAGAAAGAGATGCGCATTCTGATGGTAGGTCTTGATGCTGCTGGTAAGACTACAATTCTCTACAAGCTCAAGCTTGGAGAAATTGTCACCACAATCCCTACTATTGGTGAGTATTGATTACCTAAATTCACATTTGTTAATCCATTCAGTATCATCATAATTACATCCTCTGGTGTCCCTTACGAGATAGTATAAACAATCTAACAACTTGGGTTAGTACGGTTTATCCTTCGGTTGTTGTAGATCTACTTCTTTGAATACTGTACAAAACTAATTTAGGAAACCTATTTTTTGCTCATCTGTTTTCCTATGTACATAAGTCAAGCATGTAATCTGGTTTGTTCTGGATATATTTAACACATGTATAACTCTCTCTCTCTCTCNGTAATATATGTATTAGGTTTAAAACAATAAGTCTATTTTTGACACTGCTCGAATTGAACCCGTAAAGTAGTCCGAAATCAGCTCGAATCATCAACTCAAATTCAACCCGAGCCACTTGAATTAAACTTGAATAGTGCTCAGGTTGAGTTCTCCACTCTGAGGTAGGGTTATGATTAGGATTAAGGTTAAGATTGAAGATTATATACCTAGAGTTGGGTTAGGATTAATTGTTTAACCCACCCAACCCGTCCGAGTTGCACCCCTAAGTGCAGGAGATGAAATTTTTTTTATGGAATAGTTTTGTAAGGATTAATATCAGATCGGTAGCTTATTTACCTAAAAAAACACATAAAATTTAACTTAGAGAAAGTGAATTACTTTTTGTTTTGTATCAAATTGATTTGTTAAAAATAGATGCCTAAATGCATGATTGCTTGTGTAAAGAGAAAAATATGCAATGAAATTAAATAAAGCTAAAAGGAAAATGTGTGATCATTTGGGAAAAAAAAAAGTAAAGGTAGGCAAGTAAAATTAAAGAAAGATTTATAAATAATAGTTAAGTGGAATTAAAGGGAAATTGTGAATATTTATTTGAAAAAAATAACGAGTATTATCAATATTTGAGAATGGAACACCAAACATTCTCATTTTCCTTCGTTATTAGTATAGGTTTAGTTGATGTACTAAGTAGTATATTTATCAATAGATTTGAATAGTGAAATTAAAAATCTTAATAACACATATAAATGTTAGCATTTAGCTTATTTTGATTGGAAATTATGATTCAAATCAACCAAAAAATCATTATTTTTTTAATTTTCTAAATTGTCTTTTACTTTATAGTTCATTACACATGACATAATTAGCCTTTAATTTAGTATGACAGAAGAGAAAAAATAAATTATTGCAATTAAAAATTGTCCATTATCAAACAAAGTTATTTATCTACCCATTGAATAACAGATAGGAAATATTAAAGTTGTCTAAAAATCTATGCTATTTTTCTTTTAGTAATGATATTTGAACCTGATTTAATAACTCAATGCATTTCAGTTGTTAAATTAATAGCAAGGCCCAATATTAGGTGGAGCTCATGTTGTAATGGATTAAATTAATTGAGTGTATTAATAAATTAATTTTTAATAGCATTATTTTTCTTTTACTTGTCGAATTATCATCCGCTTCCTAGAGGTGACATTATTAACCTTTTATTTAGTATGATGTAAGAAGGAAAAATAAATTATTGTACTAAAATGAATGTCCTAATTTGAACAAATAAAAATAGAGAAAATAAAAAAAAGGAAAATACAAGGAGTAATAGCATGTCCTCTTACATTTGTACCAAACGTTAATAATTAGGGTAACGTAAAAGTAATCACATAACTAAGGGTTTAAAATGAAAAATATGATAACTAATGGGATAATTTAAAAAGAGTCATAGCTTAGGGGGTCAAAGGGTAGTTTTCCCTTAAATTTAACCAAAGTTATCTTCGTCTGGTCAGTAATTGACGTACAGGGAGGAGAGATTCACGTCGCTTAGAAACCAGGGCTCTCTGTACCGAGAAATTTCTGCAATTTTTTTTTCGGGAGGTATGTAATTCGTTTCTTTCGTGATTCAATTCAACCCACCCTTTGTGTGTTGTGTGCGTGGATCCATCGGAGATCTCTGTTGACCTCAACTGGTAATGTTTGTGTAATATTATTTGATTTTCATAATTGATTTTATCAGGAATATAGAAATCTCTGTTTTTATTAGACGAGGATTAGCCATTTTTGAACCGTCTGTGATTCGATCTGACGTTTTGTTTCGTCGTGCCTTGTTATTCGGAGCTGGAATTCATGTTTAAGAATAATAGACGTTGTAATCAATTGGATCTATTACTTTCTTTGTTGTGTTTTTTGAAATTTACAGTAGGTGCTGTTGTATTGGTTTTCTGTTCGTGTTGAGGTTGATCATGCGATGCATTCATCTGATCTCGTGTTAATTATAGGGTTTTGCTTTGGATTCCGGATTATGATCATGCTTTTGTAATCAGATTCATTCGATTATTGTGCTCATGAAATCCTTCTTGTTTTTTGGCTCATAGTTGTTTGGTCCTATTACTTCATAGATTTGTGTCGATCAGCCTTGTAATAATTAGTATCCTTATAATTAGCATGTTCACCCTAACCAAAATTAGATTTGACGATGGTGGTGGTGGGATAGTGATGCCTTCTATTATTTTGATTACTTTTGTTACCCTTATTTCTTATGGTAAGGTTGGTGATTACATTTACATCTAAAGTTTTTCCTGGTGAGCTGAATTATGCATGTTTGTGTCAGTGTTGAGTGATCCATTAGCAGTTGAATCAAAACAAAAATGGGGTTGACTTTCACGAAGCTGTTCAGCCGGCTTTTTGCGAAGAAAGAGATGCGCATTCTGATGGTAGGTCTTGATGCTGCTGGTAAGACTACAATTCTCTACAAGCTCAAGCTTGGAGAAATTGTCACCACAATCCCTACTATTGGTGAGTATTGATTACCTAAATTCACATTTGTTAATCCATTCAGTATCATCATAATTACATCCTCTGGTGTCCCTTACGAGATAGTATAAACAATCTAACAACTTGGGTTAGTACGGTTTATCCTTCGGTTGTTGTAGATCTACTTCTTTGAATACTGTACAAAACTAATTTAGGAAACCTATTTTTTGCTCATCTGTTTTCCTATGTACATAAGTCAAGCATGTAATCTGGTTTGTTCTGGATATATTTAACACATGTATAACTCTCCCTCGCTCTCACTCACTATACCTCTATTTATCTCTCTTTTTAATCTTAATTCTTAATGAAGTGGTTGGAGTCTGAAATGAAAACGAGAGATCAAATTACATTAGAATTAGGTGAGCAAAAAGGGGATAAAAGTTACCAAAAAAAAAAACTCAAAAAACCCTACTCGCACATGCATAAGCAATATGGAACAGGAGACAAATTTTTACAAAGTGAGCCTCTACAGATCAGAATACAATGGCAATGCATGAGAGTTGACGGAACAGATCATATGATAGTAATGTTTTAACCTTCATAGCTGGGGAGTATTAGGATTTTGACTCTTAAGAGCTGAATGGTTAGTGAAAGTCAGAGAGAATACTAAGATTGACACATTAGTTCAACAAAACAAATGAATAGGATCATAGGGCTAGTTGAATAATTTGGTTGATATTGGATTTGGACTAAAAGAGGTAGATTAAACTGTTTTCTACTTATAAATTATAAATTTCAAGCTATTCAAAATTGCATTAAAGCATTTGAATAAGTTAAAGTGTTCAATTATCCAACCCACTGTGAAATTGATAACATTAATTCCCCTTCCTTAATACCTTCCGGAGGGGACTACGTTACTGGGTATTGTTAATCATTCTGATCTCATTTCATGATTTTTGCAATTTTTTCTTGTGGTGAGGTCTTATTTCTCATGGCGAAATAGTGCAACTTTTCAAACTAAAACAACCTTTTGCTATCAGGATTTAATGTTGAGACTGTGGAATATAAGAACATCAGCTTCACTGTTTGGGATGTTGGTGGTCAGGACAAGGTATGCATGTCATAATCGTTTCTCGTTTTTCCTATCTTAATTTAACAGTCATGTGTTGTTATCTATTCCTAGTTGCTCCTTTTTTTTTTGGCCTTTCATGACAATTGATTTGAAGTGTTGAATCCCAGTTGTCTGAGCAGATATAGATTAGTTACAACGAAACTGAATTTTGATGTTATTTTGGGTTTCACCTTCTCAGAATAATTGGGAATAATATAGCAAGCTGTTTTATTTTTTGAAAGGAAATTGAATTCTAGTTTTTCGTTAGATTGTTGACATTGATCCATACAATCTAAAATGTTGTTTTAACACAAACAGTGTTTNAGCATGTCCTCTTACATTTGTACCAAACGTTAATAATTAGGGTAACGTAAAAGTAATCACATAACTAAGGGTTTAAAATGAAAAATATGATAACTAATGGGATAATTTAAAAAGAGTCATAGCTTAGGGGGTCAAAGGGTAGTTTTCCCTTAAATTTAACCAAAGTTATCTTCGTCTGGTCAGTAATTGACGTACAGGGAGGAGAGATTCACGTCGCTTAGANTATTTTTTGAAGATATATCTATTTATTTGTTTTCGATTTTGTCTAATTTTGAGAGAGTTTGCTNATGGTGTGGTACTATGTGGTTATAGACAAGAAACTTGAAGATATATCTATTTATTTGTTTTCGATTTTGTCTAATTTTGAGAGAGTTTGCTTTGGTTAATTATGTCAAACATGCTCTTTANGTCAGGAATATAGAAATCTCTGTTTTTATTAGACGAGGATTAGCCATTTTTGAACCGTCTGTGATTCGATCTGACGTTTTGTTTCGTCGTGCCTTGTTATTCGGAGCTGGAATTCATGTTTAAGAATAATAGACGTTGTAATCAATTGGATCTATTACTTTCTTTGTTGTGTTTTTTGAAATTTACAGTAGGTGCTGTTGTATTGGTTTTCTGTTCGTATTGAGGTTGATCATGCGATGCATTCATCTGATCTCGTGTTAATTATAGGGTTTTGCTTTGGATCCCGGATTATGATCATGCTTTTGTAATCAGATTCATTCGATTATTGTGCTCATGAAATCCTTCTTGTTTTTTGGCTCATAGTTGTTTGGTCCTATTACTTCATAGATTTGTGTCGATCAGCCTTGTAATAATTAGTATCCTTATAATTAGCATGTTCACCCTAACCAAAATTAGATTTGACGATGGTGGTGGTGGGATAGTGATGCCTTCTATTATTTTGATTACTTTTGTTACCCTTATTTCTTATGGTAAGGTTGGTGATTACATTTACATCTAAAGTTTTTCCTGGTGAGCTGAATTATGCATGTTTGTGTCAGTGTTGAGTGATCCATTAGCAGTTGAATCAAAACAAAAATGGGGTTGACTTTCACGAAGCTGTTCAGCCGGCTTTTTGCGAAGAAAGAGATGCGCATTCTGATGGTAGGTCTTGATGCTGCTGGTAAGACTACAATTCTCTACAAGCTCAAGCTTGGAGAAATTGTCACCACAATCCCTACTATTGGTGAGTATTGACATTTGTTAATCCATTCAGTATCATCATAATTACATCCTCTGGTGTCCCTTACGAGATAGTATAAACAATCTAACAACTTGGGTTAGTACGGTTTATCCTTCGGTTGTTGTAGATCTACTTCTTTGAATACTGTACAAAACTAATTTAGGAAACCTATTTTTTGCTCATCTGTTTTCCTATGTACATAAGTCAAGCATGTAATCTGGTTTGTTCTGGATATATTTAACACATGTATAACTCTCTCTCGCTCTCACTCACTATACCTCTATTTATCTCTCTTTTTAATCTTAATTCTTAATGAAGTGGTTGGAGTCTGAAATGAAAACGAGAGATCAAATTACATTAGAATTAGGTGAGCAAAAAGGGGATAAAAGTTACCAAAAAAAAAAACTCAAAAAACCCTACTCGCACATGCATAAGCAATATGGAACAGGAGACAAATTTTTACAAAGTGAGCCTCTACAGATCAGAATACAATGGCAATGCATGAGAGTTGACGGAACAGATCATATGATAGTAATGTTTTAACCTTCATAGCTGGGGAGTATTAGGATTTTGACTCTTAAGAGCTGAATGGTTAGTGAAAGTCAGAGAGAATACTAAGATTGACACATTAGTTCAACAAAACAAATGAATAGGATCATAGGGCTAGTTGAATAATTTGGTTGATATTGGATTTGGACTAAAAGAGGTAGATTAAACTGTTTTCTACTTATAAATTATAAATTTCAAGCTATTCAAAATTGCATTAAAGCATTTGAATAAGTTAAAGTGTTCAATTATCCAACCCACTGTGAAATTGATAACATTAATTCCCCTTCCTTAATACCTTCCGGAGGGGACTATGTTACTGGGTATTGTTAATCATTCTGATCTCATTTCATGATTTTTGCAATTTTTTCTTGTGGTGAGGTCTTATTTCTCATGGCGAAATAGTGCAACTTTTCAAACTAAAACAACCTTTTGCTATCAGGATTTAATGTTGAGACTGTGGAATATAAGAACATCAGCTTCACTGTTTGGGATGTTGGTGGTCAGGACAAGGTATGCATGTCATAATCGTTTCTCGTTTTTCCTATCTTAATTTAACAGTCATGTGTTGTTATCTATTCCTAGTTGCTCCTTATTTTTTTGGCCTTTCATGACAATTGATTTGAAGTGTTGAATCCCAGTTGTCTGAGCAGATATAGATTAGTTACAACGAAACTGAATTTTGATGTTATTTTGGGTTTCACCTTCTCAGAATAATTGGGAACAATATAGCAAGCTGTTTTATTTTTTGAAAGGAAATTGAATTCTAGTTTTTCGTTAGATTGTTGACATTGATCCATACAATCTAAAATGTTGTTTTAACACAAACAGTGTATGGTGTGGTACTATGTGGTTATAGACAAGAAACTTGAAGATATATCTATTTATTTGTTTTCGATTTTGTCTAATTTTGAGAGAGTTTGCTTTGGTTAATTATGTCAAACATGCTCTTTATGTGTATCCTTAGATTTTAATGCATATTAGGTTATAGAAAAGGGATAAAATGTCATATTGCAAGTGTTTCTATATGTAGGTCAGACAGTTATGGCAGACTCACTTGGTGATTGTCCAGACCAGTCTCATGACTGGAACATAGTTGCCTTGAATATAAATTGTGGGTTGTGTTTTTTAAAGTAGCATTTTCTGCTATTTGTTATGTATCAATGATGTGGTTTCTTTGCAATGTAGATTCGTCCCTTGTGGAGGCACTACTTTCAAAACACACAGGGTCTTATATTTGTGGTGGATAGCAATGACAGAGATCGAGTTGTCGAGGCAAGGGATGAGTTGCATAGGATGTTGAATGAGGTATATTGCCACTTCTCGTGACGTCTTATTTTCCTGTTTGCATCTTCATCCATGAATCTATTTATTGTCATGTAACATGCCACCTTTGATTATTCTTTGTAATTGTTTTATAACTGGTGCCATTTGGCATCTTTAAATTAATTGCATTCCTTTTATTGTATGTTCCATTTATTTATGTGATTTTGAGTGGATTGTACGTTTCCCATAATAGTTCTCTTGGTACTATCTCTAGTCTTACTGAATGATCTATTTTTGGTAGCATCCCTAACTTAGTTGCAGAAAGATTTTAATCTCTAGTCTTAAATCTTATCGAATGATCTATTTTGGGAGCATTCCTAACTTAGTTGCACAAGCATTTTATAGTTCATGTACTTCAAAGTTATTACTTGTAGTGAATGTTGTAAATTCCATGTTCAGACCCCCCAAGTGACAGTCCTACCTGGCAGTTCCAGTATCATTCCTGACAAGCACCCAACTTTAGATTAGCAGTTTTTTTTCCTGGAATTTATTGGTATTATTCGGATAAATTGTTTAGTGTTGTCTAATTTTCCTCCATAGTGGCTCTTTTTGACGTTTTAAGTCGGTTACCCGCCGTCATCAGCTGTAGTTTGCTTGATTTCTGTTTCTGGTTCCAGGATGAGCTGAGAGATGCAGTTTTGCTTGTCTTTGCTAACAAACAAGATCTGCCTAATGCAATGAATGCTGCGGAAATAACAGACAAGCTTGGTCTGCATTCTCTACGTCAACGCCATTGGTAATCTTTATTTCTTTGTTTTTGTGTTTATTCCTACATAATGGGTATCTACTCAGAAGCATGGCTCAAGTATATGTTTTGTGACATGGTTTTGTTGGGCCAGATGTTGCCCATAATTTTTTCAATTAGTAAATATTTTTCATAACAAGATTACAAGAAGAATGGTCAAGGAGCCGAAGCCTTATTGTGCTAACTCAATGTGGTGGTTCATCGCAGGTACATTCAGAGCACATGTGCAACTTCTGGGGAGGGCCTTTATGAAGGGCTTGATTGGCTTTCCAACAACATTGCTAGCAAGGCAAGTACATTGAAAAGCTTATAAAACTTTAGAAAAGAATGGAATAGACCAAAATGGTAGTTTGTAACATTCAGGAAAGAGCCAAATAGGAGCCATTGCCTGATGTGTGGTGAAGGTATTAGATCAACAGCTATGATGTTGGTGGCTAAATCTGAGGACTGTTATTTTCTGCAAACTATGCCAAAGGTTTGGTTTGTACCACCTACCTAGTCCACCCACCATAATACTCTGTTCATCGGGTTCAAAATGTGCTATGACTCCTAGACCTTTTGATTCTTGGTTGAATATTTGGGAGTATCACATGTTAAAGCGCTGACAGGATGAGGGTGTTGACCTTATTTTCTTTCCCTTTTGTCCTCTGTTTTTGGTAAATGATAGACATGCATGTGTTACTTCTTCAGTTATATGTTCCATTGGTTTGCTTATCTGCTGTGATGTTTGCAGGCATGAGGTGGCCAAGGTTGGTGATTATTGGTGGACCTTCCATTAGATGACTGACTGGATATTGTCTAGTTCTTCCATGAGGTCTTGTGATCGTAGAGATGATACTCTTTCTTGAATTTTTGAGTGCTGTAGCAAAGATGTTCTGCCCTAAAAACTATTTTGTAGCTGTTGTTTGAATTACTATCACTACTACTGTATCAATTACTACTATTAGAATTGAATGGAACTATCATGCTCTTGACATTTCATCTCTGTTTAATGAATTACACTGGTATTCTGTGTAAATCGGTAAAGAATGCAATCTGACGTTTAAGAGAGTGCGCCAATGGGTATCTTTAACTTTCTGTGTATGTTAGTCTAGTTAAAGTTTTACTGGACTGTCTGCCCTANACTGGTGAAAGATAAATGTCTTTAACTTTCTGTGTATGTTAGTCTAGTTAAAGTTTTACTGGACTGTCTGCCCTACTTGACCTGGTAAATGGAGCTTCTATTGTAAGGTGAGTCATTATGGCATCAGTTCTACCATTAGGTTTAGTCTCGTACTGTGAAACTGGAGGGTTGAGATACCCGTTCCCAAGGATTATGGATTGCTTTTGGCCTATGATTCAATTTCACTTTTGGAGATGAGATTTATTGCATTTTGTTATTCACACTACGAATGCATGTGCTGGTGTTTTATAACCGGGAGATTATAAATTCAGGGATTTTGACTTTTTAAGAGAGGGTGTAGGCTGTGGCGTTTTAGCATCCCTCCAGGGACCAGGGCCTTGCCTATGCCCGATGGATTCCAGTAGGCCACCTGGGCTGTGTTTTTATAACCGGGAGGAGCCTGGGAACCATAGAGTTTCATAGTGGGGATTTGTCTAGGAGGGGGTGTTAATCGAGTTGAATTTTGTGAGATTGAGTTTAAACTTGTTAAGTTTGATTTTTTAAATGAATCTAAAAAATTATTCAAATTTATCTTGTTTAAAATTCGAGTCGAGCCCGGGACCAGGCTGAATCAGAATTTTATTCGATTAGTTTGATTATTTTATATATAGCCAAGTTGAACTTGAGCTAAGCCTTTAAGACCTAAACGAGGCTTAAAAAATGTTCAAATTCAACTTACTTAAAACACGAATAAAGCTTGAGTTGAACCTGATTTTTTTTTTTGATAAATAAGTTAAACCCGATTAACTTGTCTCAATTAACACCCCAAGTCTTCGTGCCACCGAGGACTGGGTGCACCAAAAGCAGGAAGGGGAGATAGAAAATTGTTACCGTTATTACTTTCGAGATTTTCTCACGTGAGGTTTCTGAAGTTTCGTTTACCTTTTCTTCCATTTTATTCTTGACGGCAACATTTTATTCTTGACGGCAACCCTTCCCAATTTCTAACCAGATCTCTTCTATGCCGTACCTCCATTCCCCATTCCACCCACTCCCTCATCCCACCAGTCTCACCTAATTCATTTTTACATTTCTTTTTTTTTTTTGGCTTAAATTAGCTGAAATTGTTGGTTCATTGGTGAAAGTGAAACTAGATATGAAGTTGGATCCAATTCAATCAGAGATTGAGTAAATATCTATGTTGAATCGGAGTGCGTATAACAATAGAAATTCAATCTATTGACAAATTTAATTGAAACTCTACGGCCAGTTTGTGGGTTGCTATGTTATGAATTATGATATAGTAAGTGTAATTAATTACATTGCACACATGTAAAGCGGGCATTTGGTCTAGTGGTATGATTCTCGCTTTGGGTGCGAGAGGTCCCGAGTTCGATTCTCGGAATGCCCCCTGTTNTAGAAATTCAATCTATTGACAAATTTAATTGAAACTCTACGGCCAGTTTGTGGGTTGCTATGTTATGAAATATGATATAGTAAGAGTAATTAATTACATTGCATACATGTAAAGCGGGCATTTGGTCTAGTGGTATGATTCTCGCTTTGGGTGCGAGAGGTCCCGAGTTCGATTCTCGGAATGCCCCCTTTTGTTGAGTTTTAAGTTTCTTTGGGCTGGACCTCCATGTATAGTGAAACCAAAGTAAAAAAGAAAAAGGAAAATTAATAAAAGAGTAAAAGACAGATTTAAAGGATATATTTACGAATCTACCAATCTACCCCTTATCCTTTCTGCTTCGCGTTTTTCCAATCCGTTCCTCTTTCCCAATCTCTCTCTCTCTCTGGTGCAAAATGGCTTCGACATTACCCACTGTCACCCTCCATTCACCGTCCTATGCTACACCCTCATCCACCCCTTGTCCTAAGCACCCCTCAGTCTCTTTTCCGACGCAAACTAACCAGTTCCAGCTCCAAACCCCGAAACCCCTCAACCGTCGCGCCGTCCATCTCCGCCCTCTCGCTGCTGTCGACGCCCCCGAGAAAATCGTCCAAATCGGCGACGAAATCTCCAATCTAACCCTCGCAGACGCCCAAAAGCTCGTTGAGTACCTCCAAGACAAGCTCGGCGTCTCCGCCGCATCCTTTGCACCAGTCGCAGCCATCGCAGCCCCCGGAGCCGCCGAAGCTCCCGCCGCAGTCGAGGAGAAGACGGAATTCGATGTAGTTATCGAGGACGTGCCGAGCAATGCCCGTATCGCGACGATCAAAGCCGTTAGGGCTTTGACGAGCTTGGCTTTGAAAGAGGCCAAAGAATTGATTGAGGGATTACCGAAGAAGTTTAAGGAGGGAGTGTCGAAAGACGAGGCGGAGGAGGCGAAGAAACAGCTCGAAGCAGCTGGAGCGAAAATCGCCATTGTGTAGATTTGATTTGAATTATGGTAAAATGTCCTTAATTTGGTGTACTTTATGAGAAAATTACCAACAATGGGGTGTTCCTTTACTTTTGAGAAAATTCACATTTTTCATGTGCTTCTTGTCGCATTTTATGCCAACAAACAGCAATGGCACTTGTATTAGATGATATGGATTTGTCTTGGAGGTGTTTCTATTCAACTTCTTTTTAACTTGTACCTCAGATGTAGCCTAGAGGTCTAGAAATTTAGCCTGTGGCCATTGAGAAGCTGAACAGTTGCATTGCATCTTCGGTTCTTTCTCATACTTTTGTCCTTTAAAATGGTTGAAAAGGATTCGTTTCTTCTTGTATGCAGGAAGATGAGAAGGAAAAAGCATAGCTAGTAACAAAAGCATAGACATTGGAACTCAATCTTCTACTTGGAGAGTTTCTTATCACGAGCCCCATCAAATACCCCTTCCACTACCATATACACGTGAGATAATTGCTAGTACATAGCCCAAATCCATCAAGGAAATGGTGAATTCTCCATTGAAAGGTGCCTCATATACGTTTGAGCCACAAACCAAGTGCATGGCATGATAAAGAAGCCCTACTTACCAGAAACATATCTATGCAGGGAAAAAAGAGACGGGAATAAACTGTAAAAGAACAATGTATGAAAAGGTTCCACGCATTTATCTACAGGCAGAATTTCGTAAAGTCTATGACAGAATAACAAATATCAAGTTGATGTGAAGCACATTGCTAGAAGAATCAATCATCAACAGGGTCCTGAGGAGTCTCATGGGCACGGCGCTTAATTGTGATGACAGGACACTCAGCATGCTTGACACAAAATTCACTCACAGTTCCCACAAAAACCCTGCAAAATATCCAACAAGCCGCATCCTGTCAGTCTTTGGAACATAATTTTAAGNTACATATATTAATATGTTATACTAATATTTGTGTACAAAAATTATTTATGTACAACGCACATGATGCATTACTAATTACCTAAAAAATGGCGGGATTTACAGCTGTCATCCATTCTTTAGAAATGAAAAATATTCAAATAAATAAAATAACGACCATTTTACTGTGGTTTTATTTCATTTTCTTCCTATTCTCCAAAATACCATCCCCCATTGTTAATATGTTAATTATTTAGCAATTATTGCTGCAATATTTGGGAAATTGGCACTTTAGTCTAGTAATTATATAAACATGAGATTATTAAAGAGTTGGTGTTAGGATAAAAAAAAAACTCCAGGGATTCTACGTATGTATACATATTATTAGATGGAGTGATAGTTTGATGAAAATGACATATAATTTAGTGAAAATTGAAAGTGAGTCTCCCTAGATATACTTGTTTGGAGATAAGTCCTGCAAAAAAATTTATAAGGGACTAAGTTCATGTTTAAAATTATATATAATGACTTAAGTCCACTTTTTTTTTTATCTAAAAAATATCATTCCTTTAAAGGAAGTTAATCTTTTATCTCTCATATCTATTTATATCCATATATAAGTTAAGAGTTTGACTAAGATTAAAAAAAAATTTCTCTCTTATCTATCTATATTCATATACAAGTTATATATATATAGTAAAATTAAAAAAAAATAGTAACATTTAAATATAAAAAAAAAGTTACTATAATTTAAATAGTAAAATTCAAATTCATGTTACGATTTTTTTTTATTATGTTACTGTTTTTGTTGAGTACGTTACTGTTCATGTACTATTATTTTTGAGCACGTTATTGTTTTTACTGAACATGTTACTACTATTATTTTTCTAAATATTAATATTCAATGTTACTATTTTTTTTTTTAATATTACTATTTTTTGTATTTGAATAGTACTATTTTTTATGTTTGAATTTGAGAGAAATAATTATTGTTAAGTATGTTACAGTTTTTATTAAGCATGTTACTATTTTTGTTGAACATGTTACTATTGTTATTTTTTAAAAATATTAATATTGAATGTTTCAATTTTTTTATGTTTAAATGTTACTATTTTTTTGTGTCTAAATGTATTATTTTTTGTGCCCAATTGATGACTTTTTTTTTGTATTTGAATATTACTATTTTTTATTTTTAATGTTATTATATATATATATATATATAATACATATAAATATCAGCATATATGAAAAAATTTTAATTTTTTATTTCACCCTTAATTATTACCACATTTTTCAGTCCTTCATACCTATTTGACTTCCAAAATATTAGTTAGGTAAACTTTATCTTTATGACTTGGTAGATAAATTTTATTAAAATATTACTTAAATAAACTTTATCAAAATATTAGTTATATAAACTCTATCTTGGTATTTTAATTATTCACTTACCTTTACAAAAAATAATTCAATTTTATTACTCATCAATTTTGTATTTCAAATAAATTTAATAACAAATTAATGAACTAAATTTTTTTCACATGAAACGCACGTGTGCATTGCTAGTATATATAAAAGATGAAAAATTTTAATATTAGTCAAACTTTTTTTTTTGATAAATGAGAATAAGATTTAAGAGTAGGTACAATAACAAAAGACAGTAATTAAAAGCATCCTAATGTAGCATGGAGGGGATGTGCATCCAAATCCACTTAAGCCTTTGTTGAATTTGGCAGTTGGTCTGGTTGGAGTGGACCTGTATAACCCATAGTGAGCCCCCATCTTGCTAATTCATGAGCAGCACCATTTGCATCCCTACGTGTGTGTACAAATTCTCATTCCGGATGATGCTGAAGAATGACTTTTATGTCTTGCACAGTCCAATGAGGTTTGACACGAGGGAGTATGATGGAATGAACTACAATCTGTAAGTCTCTTTCTATGAGCACATAAGACTATCGCTTGACATGTGCCCATTCCACAGCTTGCCTTGCAGCTAGAGCTTCAGTTATGAGTGGGTCTGTTTCTGTTACAATCTGGAGTTCACTTCCTATAATTGATCTATCATGAAGTCTGGCAATTGCTGTAATAGATGGATTCTTATTCCCCAGTGCTGCATCAAAGTTAACTTTTGTAATTCCTTCATGAGGGGATCTCCAAAATTCTGGTGGTTTTTAGATTGGTGGAGCCTTTGGATGGATTTTAACTTCTCTAAACTCATCAAAGGTCTTCAAAACTTGCTGGAGTAATTGATGTGGAATGACTAGTTGACTATTGTGAAGAGTCTTATTCCTCCAAGTCCAGGTACTATAAGTCAAGATAGCTGTGAATAGCAACAGTTCAGAGTAAAGAGGGCTATTGGGTCCAAAAAGGACGGTGGGATGGAGGATGTTCAGAATCCATTCCTGTAGATTGAGGTGAGAAAAGGAATCTGTGCGAAGCTCCTATCTTGTGAACCATAGGCAAATGGCAAATGAAGAATAGATGTGTGGCTGTTTCTGGATATTGGTGGCATATGGGGCAAAGGATGTTTGGTATAGAAAATTTGCTTGCTAGTAAAGTTCTAGTTGGGAGACACTCTATAGTTAAATCTCCAAATGAACATTTTGTGTCTTTCATGAATAGAAGTCTGCCATAATCTCTTCTAGTCGCTTTTTGCTAGGTAGTGACTTTGTGAATCTTGCCCAGCTTTATAAGATTTGTAGGCAGACTTGCA